TTTACATGCTTTGGTACGACCCTTGGCTTATCCAGGATCCACCATGATGCAGGATTATTACCAACTCTAATGGGCAACCGTTATTGAACAGACATATTGTTGTATCAGATGATAACCCTTGCAAGGATTGTAATTAAACCATCTCAATCAGATTGATGTTGAATCCCATCATTTTTTCAAAGAATTCAAGGAGATAATTGTGGGCCTATTCAACTATCTTGTGGATCATTTCGATATTTTCTCACCTCGCTTCTTTATGTTCATTTCCCCTTGTCTAACACAAGTAAATAAACTAAACAGAGAATTACATTGATCCCGTTCCACTTCATTCTCTAACAAAGGTTCGAACATTTTGTCTATTTATAACATATTCAAAATTGAATATCAAAACTAGGACTTTTAGTCGCAGCTAGCTAGCCTTGATTTTGAAACTATTCCATATTGTAAATTTACAATATAGTGTAGTGTCTGCATACTGGTCACATTTTATAACAAATTCTCTTTCCTATGGATCCCTTTTATTTGGGTCTTTGCAGCTTTGCCTAATATTGTTGCCGGCTTCCACATAAACGGAAAGACTTCTTTTAATTTACATGAATGCTTCAGAAGAATTGACTGATTTTTTATTTTTCAATCATTCGAAGGGGTACTAGCAAATTTTTCGTTTGAACATTCTTTTTTTATCTTTTTGGCTTTCATTTTCATCTTGTAATGTTGGAAAGCAAACCAAACAGTTTATTTCGATGTCACCTTTTAAAGATCAACTCTGTTCAAAACTAACCAAATTTAAAATTAATGGTAATCCAACAAATAAACGAAACATGTTATTCATCCAAACACTAAAAATTTGATGATGTTCATCTAATAGTTAAATGAATGCTAATTTGATTCACTTTGTTTTTGTAGTGTAGATATTTAGAGAGTGAACGGATAAAATAGAACTAGAAAATTTGACCAAAGAGTTCGGTAACATCCCCGTTTGTTAATACTTAAAGTCACTGTGGCATAAAACTTGTATCGGCTTTCTTCATGTGGTGCTCTGCAGAACACAATGATGTTGGCTAGATCGTCTTCCTTTCATTGGCTTAATTTAGATTTTGGACATGTCCAGTAGGATCTTGTCAGCCTTTGAAGACTTTAAGCAATGCAAATCGTTTTCAGTTGGCCCCATTAAAGATAAGTCATTGTCATTATGGTCCTTATATGGAGCCATGAATTGAAGGACATTAATTGTTTGTTGTTATGCCCCAGACAATAGCCATTCATAAGTCACAACCCACTCTACTGGAGAAGATATTTTTTAGTGTGATTGATACACGGAGTGGTACATGTTACTATACAAATGGTGGGATATGTGTGTTAAAAAGTTAATAACTTAAAAAATAAAATTTATCATTATTTATATAAAAATACGTAGTGTAACACCCGTGTTCCAATCATAATAAAAAATTTCTTCTCCTGGGCCATGCCTTCACTGTTAGATAGAACACAATATCCAACACCAATGATATTCTTTCACTTCGGTTTAGCTAAGTGGGGTTGGCATGTCCATAAACGAAGGTAAAAACTTATTGGGAGTGTTCCTGATACATGACACATGATAATGCGAGTACGAGAACAACTTGATTCAAGGGGAAGGATTTGTTTTGTTTAGAGTTTATGTAGTCTATATAAATGTCCGTACACTTCTCATTACATAAATAAATTAGTAAACATAAAGTAGTGTTACAATCATATTAAAAATTTCTCAACAAGGGTTGAAAACCAAAACATTGATCAATATAACTGTTCTTCCTATCTCTTTTTGTTTTTGGTCAATAACTTCTTGTCACTCAATTGTTACTACAGTTGTGATTCACATAAGTTTTTTCCTTCAAAGAAAACAGCATGAAATTAATTCAATTTTTTTTTTGGTCAAAATTACAGTAAGAACGCAGTATAAAATTGTGTAAAACCCTCCTCGTCGCTATTAAAACTGTGTAATGTGTATATATAGTGGGGTCACAGATGAGATTGCTCATAACTTGTGCAACCAAAACCAAAGATATATGCTCATCTTTAACACAACCTGATGGAAACTAAAGGGTGCGTTGCTCAATCATTGAATGAGTCATGTCAGCAAATGACATATTTGCCTCTAGAGTAAGCTCCAAAAACTTGAAAATTCAGAAAAATGTTGGATATTTTTGAATTATTCCTCATTAAAGAATTTAATTACTTTATATAAACACATTAAGTTACAAAGGCTGGATTGTAATTTATTCTTAGACCTCAGTTATTGAACCGGCCCCGTAACTTCGGTAAGAAGAATAACGAAACACAAAATATTTGAATCAACTAGCTCATAGTTTGGTCTGTGAAAAAAAGGAATTCCTCTTGAATTCGAATTCTCTGCTTGGTTCTATCAAATTTTTCTCGACGATAAAAGAACAAAAAGAATAAAGACACAATTTGACTATCTTCTTCAGTTTGATGTGCTTTCCAATAAATGACGTACAATTTGTGCTTACCTATGTGTGACCATTGAAGCGGTTCATATTATTCAAACTTATCCAACAGATTATTCAAACTTATCCAAGTAAAGAAAACGTAAGAATATTGATAGAAAATTATGTGCCCATTAATGGTACAATTGAAACCATTACACACGCGCAATTACAGCCTACAAACATACAGTTCTTTCTCTCACGTACTCATAAGTCATACGATCAATGGAATTCTAGCTTAGCTAGAGACTAGGGCTCCTTGTTTGTTAAGTAATGGGGCTTTAGCTAGTTGACCCTGACTCTTCTTGTTCGTTTGATGAAAAGAAATAAGATCAATGAGGGATCGACATTGATGGTGCCCTAACGTTGATCACTTTTCTACGCTGCATGCATTTTTCCAGTATTCTTTTGCTCATAGCTGGTTACTCTGCACATGTCATATGTGGACTTGAACATTGAGAGTAAATATTGTTCTACACTTTCATATACACTTCCATTGGTATCCCAACTTAATCACCTACAGTTTGACATATCGATTTGGTTTTATTACAAAGGGCATTGGTATAGATAAGAGTAAAACCATTTAGGACTATCAGATATTTTACTTCTCTCCTTCTCTCGCTCACCTTTAAAAACTTCTCCACAATATGGTCGACTCCTCCTTTGGTTGGGGTCGGTGGTAGCCAAAACCTTTCAATTCTCAGTCCTCTTCTCTCATTCCCCAACCTTTTTCTCCTTTTTCTCACCTTATCTTACCTTGTTATGTCTATTTTTCGCGGTTGTAGTTGGTCTGAGCCTCTGTCTCAGTGTTCTCTGAGCTTTGCTTTTAGTTTACCCTGAACTTATCTCATATCTGTCATTTTTCTCTCTAAGTATCATTCCTCATCACATATCCTCTACCATCTACCTCTGCTATTCAACTCTTTGGATGTTTCCTTCAAGGATGTTATCTGGCGACACTCCTTGGTGGTTAGTTGCTTTTAAAGTACTTTTTGCACTATTTGGTACGATTATGGTAGCCCTCATAGCACGGATGGCGTGTCTATCCACATCCTCTATTGATCCATTTGGTTCATTGGTCCTTCTTCTACGTGGTGGCAGCTTTGGGGTGGTGGTGCGGCTAATATGGTGGAGGCAACTGTTTTCTTTTTTCAGTTCTCCGGTTTTTTGGCTTTTGTATTGCTATGGACTGCCTCTTTTGGGCCTATTTCATTCTAATTTCTTTATGTAAACTTGGGCTTTGTTTGACTCTTTTGGACTCTCTTTTTGGATGGTGTTTACATTTGTATTATTTTTCTCTTTTAATGGAATTTAATTGATTGACCAAAAAAAAAATAGTGAAACAATTTAATATAAACTATAATTTAATATTTTCTCAAATTTTTGATATGAGATGCATTCTTCAGTTTCACCGCTTAAATCAGGTTTAGATATATATATAAATTTCAGCTATACCTAGACGTTTGGGATGAGATAATGGTTGAGTTTCACGTGAGAAAGATTAGTATATTGTTGTATGTACCTGTGTGAGCACTCTATTGGCAACGTAACATGCATGCATGGCCTTAAGAATGAAGGAAAGTGTCTTTATAAATGGCGGATGTCGCATTGTTGCAACTGCCTCTCACATTGTGGGTGTTGAACCTATAAACATTTAAAGATCCCACATCATTTCCGTGAAAGCTGGCACAATGCCTCTTAAGTTTTAACAAGGGGTGGAGCCAGCCTCCATAAGTTCATATTTGGCATATATGTGACGTACCAAGAAACTTTTGGCGAAAATACGTGAGATTCTGTTATGTAATTGAAAATGTATCTTATTCATCTATATTTATTCATTGTGTATATTCTTATAACGTGATGAGAGATGTAGATATAAAAAAATGTTTCTCCGATTGCACATAAAAATGTCCAAATGTTAAATCCAAGGACTGTACATAGGAGGGGATGTTCCCTGGGAAAGCCTTCTTTTCTACCTTTCCTGTTGACGTGCTCTAGAAAGTCCAGCAAATTTAAGGGCGGGAGATCACACTACTAAATTAAACAGTTTGCGCGACGAGGGAGATTTTTGTTGCGCAAATCATTATTAGGTCGCACAAAAACTATGGCGACCAGAAAATCGTCGAGCGTATTTTGTCGCGTAAAGGTTGTGAAAAAAGACATTGCGTGACGAAAAATTTCAAATTCGTCGTGCAAAAAAAAAATGTGCGACGCTTTACTACTCGTTGCGCTAAAGTTATACAGACGAAGGTTTTCGTTGTACGATATAAAAGGGTACAAGTACGCTTTGTGACTAGTTCGTCTCAAAAAGTTTGCGCGACGAAAAATGTAAGAGGCGCATGGTAATGCGCGACGAAGTTATATGACGCGCTTAATTTTACGCAATGACTGTTCGTCATCGCGCAAGTGTAATTTAAAAAAAAAAATAGAATAAAGGGAAAATTAAAAAAAAAAGAAGATTTCATACTAATAAAAAAAAAAGCAAATTAATGAATAAAAATGTACGTACAAATATAAAGTTTTAAAAGAAAGCAGGAACAAAACTATGAAAAAAAAGCAAAAAAATCTATAGGAATGTCGTTCGAAGGATCTTGCTGCTGGTTGGGGACGGGGTCGGAGGTCAACGGGCCTGATTGCTGTGCTTGCTCAGTGTGGAAGGGCTATGAGGGCGATGGTGCAGAAAAATCGGGGAGATGTATTCCGAAGGAACTGAGGGCTTGTACAAGCATCGACATTTGAGACTTGTACGATGCCAGCTCACTCCTCAGCCCAGCGACTTCTTGCGTCAAAGCCGTAACCTGGCCCTTTGACTGCGATGATGATGAGGCTCTACTATCCTGCTGCCTGGCATTTCCCATCCCCCGACAATAAGTCCCTGGCCTCCGACCGAAAGTATGGTCCAACGTCTCTATAATGATGTGAAACCCTGCATCCTCAGGGGGATCCACAGACTCAATCGGCATGTCCGAGGGAAGCTGGGAGGCGGACTCTTGAAGCACCGATTGACTCTTCTCCACCATAGTTGCTTGTGAAAAAAAAAGCATGGATTATTAATAGAAAACAATTTGAAATAATTAGTGTAAATGTTGAATGCATAAGAAATTACTTACATGAAGGGACTCGCGGTCAACTCATTCCCAGGCCGAACATAAACATTAGCAAAGCCGTCGATTTCCGGAAATTTTGAACCCTCCTGAAATCGAAAAAGATAAGGAAAATGTTAGTAAGAAAAAAAAATTATTAGTGACATTTTAAAATTGGAAATGAAAGATGTAATATATACCTTCCATCACGCCCCCATCTTATAGGAGAAAGGCCTTGAACCCGAATGGTGGAGAAGAATCTTCTTCTCCCGATTGATCTTGTTCGCCTTCGCCTTCTTCTGTTATTAAAAAAATAAACGTATTAGTTGTAATACTTAAAGAAAATTAAAAAAATAATAATAAACATTAGTAAAAATTAAAAAAAGTAAAATGAAAGAAGTCGTAATTAAAAACGTACCACATAGCCCCGCTCTTGAAAATGACCGCAAAGCTAAACCCAACTATCTTGTCAGTCCTTCAACTCCTTTTGACAACCCTCATCGAGAGTGACTTGCGGATCATCAAATTGTTGGAAACATTCGTGCAAGTCACTTTTCTACTACTTGTAGCGTTTGGAGAAGAGCCGATTGAGGTACGTGAACATGTCCTCGTCCATGTCTTCCAAATTGTAGTTTGTCTGCAATGTAACAAATATTTGGAAAGTATTAGTAATAAAAGACAGTAATAAATATAAATATATAAATTTTACATGAAAAGCATTAAAAATGCAACTCTACTTACGGACAATTGGTTGCGCACCGTGTTCTTCGTCTCCTCCGGCTCGCCTTCCAAGACTTCCACAACATAGGGCAAAAGGTCTGCACGACATGCCCAATGTCGTGGGCCAATGCATTATGCTACTCCGCAGTTGGTGCTGCCCGATGTCGCTCATCGTATCCGATTGGGATACGACCGTTGGTCACTCGGGTGACCTTCGCCGTCTTCAATTGCCGACAAGGTCCTAGGGTGTTTTTCTTCGCTGCAAAGAGATAAAAAAATCATTAACCCAAAACTAATAACAAATCCTACTAAAATTTCGGCATAACCTCCCCTATAATTAAAACATTTCTCAAAACCCTAAAAATAACATAAACAATATACGCATCCAACACAATGATCACAACAGTTTAATAAAAGGTTTAGAACGATGACAACTTTTTAATCCTTACATGACATAACTTAACAAATTGAACCTAAAATAATAAAACTGATCAGTTAACATTCACATACATTTTCTTCCTCTATTTCTACTAAAAGTTACTTATTGAGCATCACAGCTACTTCTGTGTTTGAGGCCACTATTTCCTTTCTCCTAATTAGAATATATTTCCAATTCGAGCGTTTTCAGAGACCATAACAAACTTCTAAAAATGGCGACAAGTGCCATCCAAGACGGCCAATTTTCGAGCTTGTATACACAGGCTCTTGACATTGCTGGCAACAAGCTTGGCAAAGAATTCTAAGCTGCCATAGCAAACAATTCCATATAACCTCATCCACATTGACTTTTGTAAGACTCTGACAGTCACAACCGAAACTTCTACGACTCTAAATACTTTGCTTCATGATAATTACCAAGGTTTTCATTTCCCAGTTAAACATTTTCGCCATTTCCTCATCATCAAATTTCTTCCACAACTTTATCGTTTCAATTCCGTGAGAAACCCATTTCAGTAACTAAGAAATGACACATAAATTAACAAAAAAAATTGTAAAAACATAAAAATTAACAGATATGAATTATGGAATACACACAATTTCGATTTCATGACAAAACCCATTTCTGAAAGCGAAGAAATTGCAAACAAGAAAAGAGAAAACAATGGAAACTTTTAAATCCTTACATGACTTGACATAACAAATTGAACCTAAAATAACAAAATTCAGTTAACATGGGAATGAGGGAGTGAATTAGGATTGTATACCTGGTCGTGTACCCGAGGCATCGGTTATGGATCCCGATGACAACATCTGGTCTGTAGTGCGGGGGCGCCGGTGAGTACGTCGGGCGCTAATAGGCAACGCCACTGAAGAAGTCGACGATGCCTGCGCCTATGGGACTGAAGGACCAACTGGGTCAACCGAATTGACCGGCCTATGGTCCATCTATGCCGGAGCAGTGGCGGCAATAGTAGGTGTAGTAATCGGACTAGGTGTAGAAGTCATCGCCCTCCGGGTTCTAATGAGGTGTGACATCTACAAAATTGGAAATCAATTTGTTTTGTACACAAAGATTTAACTTACCATACACATACTAATAATTTCATCTTAAATTTAAAACGAAATTTAAAAACCCAAATTCTAAACCCAATTCAAGTTAGGCAGAAACAAAACTTAAAACTAATATACTATACACAAACTAATCAATTTAGATAGGATATAGACCCAACAATTATAACTTATAAGAAGAAACTAGCATAAAGGAGTAGTTGGAGGCAAAATCTGTATGTATGTGCTCTTTGTGTGTCAGGGAATTCAAGTGACAAATAAGCCACAAGCTAGCAATTTGGCTCCTCGAGGGTAGCAGAAACCAAGAACATGCACCCAAGTTAATGGATAGAAACAAAAAAGCATGGCACATATTCAACAATAACCAGGGATACAAGCATCATAGCTAGAAAAAGAAAGCATTAGACATCTTAGGAGTTACAAAGTTCAATATATCATGCCAATACACACAACATGTGCTATAACACAATTAAAACAAAGGGAAGCAGAGGATAACTGATAACCTTCTTTGCATCTCCCTAGAAGTAGAGATGATAACCTTCTATTTTCAAAAATCAAAATACAATATTTGTCAATGAATACAATCAGAAAACCAATGAAAAGAGAGTAACCAAAACATCTAATTCTGATATGTAAGCTCTCATCAAATGAACCTTAAAAAAGCAAGTCAACCACAACAATATCAAAATCCATGGGACTACTTTCGAGTAGACCACTTGAACTTGAAGTCAAACAACAATTCTAGAAAGCAATGGAAGGTAACAAAATTATGGAAATAGTAATTAAAATTACCATAAAGTAATGTAGGTGACCAAAGTGTACATCCAAAAGCTAGTGGATTTTTCTCCTGAAAATTGAAAAAAATCAAGAATGACAATCTCATCATATGAAAGTATTTTCGTTAAAGAATGACATTATTAGCAATGAAAGTATTCGTTGACAAAAAACCTCACCTGGTATCCAAAAAAGAAAAACAAATTTCCTCAAGAGAGCAAATAAATACCCATCTAGAATATGAGAACTTACAATACAATATCATTCTCCAGGAAACTCAAATTTGGATGGAAAAAAAATCCCAAATTACTGAACCCTTTCTCCAAAAAATGAAATTTGAAATATGAAAAATGCCAACTCGCTCAACCCATGTTCTAGATGTGTTCATGTCTACATATTTTATGAAGAGAGCAACGTGCAATCACAGAGAAAACAAAAACAAAGGGAAGCACATGGAAGTTTATAGAACTAATCTCCTTATGTGCACTTTCCATCCTCAAACCTATGAAACCTATTGTTATCCCTCACTATGATAACTCTTCCTGAGCACTTGGACATAAACTTGATTGTAGTATGACAATCGCCACTAATTTAAGAACCCCTAATTTAAGAACCTTAAATCTAACCCCTAATTTTAGAAAACCTAATCTAACCTCACTGCCTAAATCGTTCCCCTAATTTAAGACCTAAATCTAACCCCAATTAAGAACCCTAAAAACTCTAATTTAAGAACCTAATGTAACCCCCAATTTACGAACCCTAAATCTAACCCAACTGCCCTAATTCTAACCCCCAATTTGAAAAAGAAAAAAAACCAAAAAAACCCTAATTCTAACCCCCAATTTGTAAATAAAGAAAATTGAAAATAAAAACTAAAGAGGAAATTACCTCTTGGAGACGAAGTCACGACGGCCGGAGAGAGGGACGGAGAGAAAGATGGAGATACAGAGGAAAGAGAGAGAGGGTATCGCGCAGGGAAAAAGGAAGAAGAGGGAAGTGAGGGGAAGAAGGAGAAATGGGGTTAAAATATAGAATCTTGCGCAACAGAGTTTTGTCTCGCAAGGCTAAACAATTGTTGCGCAAGTTTTTTAAAATTTCAGCGAAAAAAAATGCCTTAATTGAAATTTTAGACACTTGCGCAACGAATACATATATTTCGTCGCGCAAATACACTTTGTGCAACGAAATATATGTATTCATCGCGCAATATTCTGGCATAAATTTAAAATAACCATTAAATCATGATTTTTTGTTTATAACCGTCGAAAAGTTTTGTTTCGTTACTTGATCTCTAAATATTTGTTTTTTGCGATTTTTGGCTTATGCGATCTCGAACCATATACAAACAAGTTTGACGGTTGGATTATTGAAATTAGTTTCATACAATGCGTATCTCATAAAAAAGATAGATTCACTAACACTTAGAATTTGTTTATACTTTTATTAAGTATAACAAAAGATTTTGTGGTATCCACTAGTGTAAATAATTTTAATTGAAGATCAAATTCATTCATTGTATTCATATAGGGTCAATGAGTGTAGCTGTAAAAAAAATCATTAAAATCGGAGTTAAAATAACCGTTAACTTGTGATTTTTACCTTTCTAACCGTCGAAAAGTTTTGTACCGTTACTTGATCTCTGAATGTTTGTTTTCTGCAATTTTTGGCATATGCGATCTCGAACCATATACAAACAAGTTTGACGGTTGGATCGTTGAAATTAGTTTCGTACAATGCGTATCCCATCAAAAAGATAGATTCACTAACACTTTAGAGTTTATTTATACTTTCATTAAGTATAACTAGTGTGAATAGTTTAAATTGAAGATCAAATTCATTCATTGTATTCATATAGGGTCAAGGAGAAGCTGTAAAAAATCATCAAAATCAGAGTTATTTTTTGTTTCTAACTGTTGAAAAGTTTTGTACCATTACTTGATCTCTAAATGTTTGTTTTTTTTTTTATGATTTTTGGCGTATGCGATCTCGAACCATATACAAACAAGTTTGACGGTTGGTTGGATCGTTGAAATTAGTTTAGTAGATTTAAATTTATTTATTTTGTACATATAACCACTTAAGAAGTTGAATGGTATGTATATTTAAGCTGATCCAACGGTCACCAATTTTTTAAATTTAATTTAATATATATATATAATTTTTATAGTTTTTAGGGGTATAAAATTGTTAAATTAATATATATAATTATTATAGTAATTTCTTTTAGGGTTATAAAATTATAAAATTAATATTTTGCTTGTCGTGTCGGGTTATCGGGTCGTGTCAGGAATTGTTAGGCCTAGCATGCGCGACCAAAAATTGTTATGCGTCACGCAATTATGTTTTAAAATGGTTTTTTAATTTTTTTTATTTTGTTTACAATTTGTTATAAAATACAAACATACCAAATTTATTTACAAAGTAATTTACATATAAAATATTCACATATAAAATGGGAATCATTCATACTATTTTTTCCATTACTCTATATAATGCATTAACCATTTCATGTGTTTTACAAAAAAAGTTACAAATAAATTGCCTTAATCTTCATCCGAACTATAATAACTTTCACTTTCGTCGCTACCATCATTTTCAATGTCTCATTCCTCATCATCGATAGGTATGTCACCATCGTCGTTTGTGCACACTGGATCATCATATCGTGGAATATTACCAAGGTCAATTGTGATCGACTGAATTGATATTTCGATTGAAGATATTTCTTCTATCTGAAATGGTTCTTGGATAAGATTAGTATCTCGGAGTGTTTCTGCACCACTTTCCATCAAAGATTCAAGATGTTGGTTAGCAACATTGTCGATGTCATCGTCAGTACAACTTGTTCTGGTATAACATACACGTTCCTATGATCCATCGTCTGAACAACTTTCCAACCCCTCCTGGCTTTAGGGTCATCTATATACAAAATTTGTTTTGTCATGGTTGCTAAGATGTAAGGGTCGTCATCATACCAAGTTTTGTTAGTGTTCACTTATAGTAATCCATGATCTTTTTTCACACTTTCATGCCTATTTGGGTT